ACAGCTACCACACAGTAGTTGACCCGTAGGCGCCTAAAACCGGTTGGCTTCCCTGGAGAGAAGGTCGGCAGGGGATGGAGGACTGCTTTAGGAGGAGTAATCCTCTTCCTTAGCATTCTCATGCATGTAAGACTGTCTTCACATCAGCACCTAACATTTTGCTGTTCAGCAGTACGAGGGTGGGACCTGTGGTCCATGGGGATAATCCTGCTGACAACACTTGCCGAACAGTGGCAAAAGAGCTGTGCTTGCACCTCCCAGACAATGAGGCATGATATCATCCACAAGGCTTCTCCAAGAATATTTGCACAACAGCCTTGCTCATCAGCATCGATATGATCAGGAGGTGGTCGGTCCACAAGTGGCCACCTGACATTGAAGATCTGTTGGTAGCTGTCTTCGAACACCTAAAACGGATATGCAAACTTCCACTATCAAGTAAGTCCACTCCCCAGGGTCAGTGCTTTGCTTTGCAACTGCATTCGAATGAACTGGTGAATATTGGCTGGATGCAGAGCGCGTATCACAAGTACCCAATGCGGATTCTGTGCAAGGAAAACTATCCATTCGCTGTGCCTGATCCTAACCTCGATGCCTCCATTCTAATATATACGTAACACGATTGAAAAGTGTATTTTTCATGTATGCCGGATTGACAACAAGATAGCATTGTTTGCAAGGCACAACATCGTTCTGTTTTGTCGGGTCTCATGTTTGTCTCGACACATATTTCCTTTCTGTGTGGGGTGCACGTATTTTTAGTGTGTACATGCAAGTTCCATTGAGCACCCACTTTCATCCATCACACACATAGGGACTCCTGCAGTTTGCCGGGGATCTTGCTCAGTGTGCCATAGCCACTCTAGACAGTCCTATCGCATTGGACGAAGACCATTGGAAGTTCTTCGGTATGGCAGTTCAAAAGTGAAAAAAATGCGTACTGTATACTGAAAAAAGTTTGTGGGAGAAAAAATTTCAACCACTGTCGAGTGCGAGAAAGTATTGCTCTGCAAGCTTTTTCCGCGAAATACACGAAATTTTTTCTCCTCGAAGATTTTTCGGTATAAAGCATGTGCAAGGAGCTTCAGGGGACCCAGTCGCTTGAGAAGACAGGCCACTACCTATACGGACTCATGTTGAGCAGGACAGTCCCCTTGCCATCGGTAGACAGAGGAACTCAGCCCACTTTGCCCCAGTTGCTGGTTGTTGGGGTGCCAGCAAAAAGGAATGTCGGGTGTGTGCTCGTCTATCACTAGGAAATCCCCTGCGTTGTAAGGATTTCCCAAATTTGGGACATGGAGTCAGAGGGCTTGACAGTTTGCGAGGTTTCTGAGGGTAATTTCTCATGGTCGTACCCTTTTCGCCGATACCCTGCATCAGCAATCACCAGGGACAGTGCTTCAAAGGGACTATCATTGGGAACCGTCTGAAGGATCCAGGCTGTTTGGCAAATAAGGTGGATTGTAGTCCGCCTCATTGCCAATTGGGAGCTTTAGGACTGCGACTACCAGCTGGCTCGGGCACGCCAGAGTGGCCATTCTCGGGTGCCTTTCTTCTGGACAAAACTATGCCCATGTGCCAATGCGAATGTAAGTGCTTGGCATCTGATGTATTGTCGAGCAACCGTTGACGTTGAAGGTACCTATGGTAAACTCTGGGATTGCAGATCGTCTTCTAGGAAGTTCGGATCTGCGTAGGATTCAACATCTGGGGCCATTAATCTGTCTTCGCTCGCCGCTAAATCGTGGAGGCTGCAGCGGTTCGGGAGCACTGAGCCTGGGTTCCACAGGGGTCTCAAATTCGTATGCTGGGCCCCGTCCGCAAAGTCGAACACTAGGCAAGTGCATTCCCCTCGGTCCTGGAAGACGCTTTTCAGTTCGTGTTCTCGCCTAAAATTCATACCCACCGCATATCACAGTACACTCAGGAGTAGCAGGGACAGTGCACTTGTGGACATGCTGGGAGTTGGGGCGACTGGGGATAGAATGCATTGGGAATTGCCTTGACGATTGCCAGAGCTTACAGAGGCCCCTGTGTGCACACCGTTGTACAAGGCGGGTGCCCGCATGTAGTTAACACTAGGAAAAGAAGGTCCAAATAACACTTTTGCGAACACACGTAAAACACATTTCATCAAAGCTCTGCACGCTAATAACACAAAAAAATAAAAAAATAAAAAATAAAGTAAGTAAACTTTGTACACGTTTAAACACGTGTTATTTGGCCCTTTTTTCCCTAGTGTAAGGAGCCGCGTCAAGGCGCTGGTCACGGTTACCCACAAGGCAAGAACGGACACCACTTCTTCGCTCGCCATCCAACGTGCCGGCACCCAGCTTGCCTGTCGGATTGAGATGGTCTTTAGACTCGAGGTGAACTTGCCATTAGAGGGGGTGTCCATCACGATGTGTTCTGGGTGGCTGTCCAAAACTATGTTCCTTGGGTGGCATGGAATTCGTGGCCAGCAAACGCGCACAGACGCAGTCTTGGTAGCGATTGCAAATACAATAATGATGCATGCAATGATGAAGCTCAGGATGATTGCACGAGCTGACCAAAGTTAAAATGGGGAAATCGTTGTGTTCGCATCCAACATTTTTTTTTGCATTATGCACCTCTGGTGCAAAATTTCCCCTGCATATAAGGTTCGCACAATGTGGACAAGGGTACGTTTGAAGTGTACACGTCTACCGCCAATCGAAGCTGACGGCAGTGAACGGTCGCTTAGTGTGTATGTGTGTGTGGGGTGTGGTGTGGTTGGGGTGTGGTGGGGATGGGCGAGTGGGGGGGTGGGGGGTGGGGGTATATCCGGTCACATGATACTGGAAATTTTGTAACTACAGCAGAATCCACATGAATTAATGAAAACACTGTCGATTTATTACTACTGTACTATGCTGAGCTCTCCTTTCTCTTTTTGCGGTAGTCCATCATTGTAAAAGAAAGATATGGCATTTACTGGTTGGGCTGCCACAATCCGCAGTGTTGCACTACGCCCCTGCACGGCGTACCAAATTCAAAAGTTGCCCCAGTTCCCTGCACTTCAGCATGGAACCGTCAAATGCTCCCATGCCCAGTAAACGACAATGCGCCTGCTCCAATGGCGCTTGCCTGTTCTCCAGAACACCAATCACGCCTGCTTGCAAAGCGCAGTTGCTGGCCAGAACTGGACTGACGAGGTGCACAAGCCGTTCGCGCTTCGACTGTGTATGACCGTCAATGCCCCGTTTCAGGCGTGACGCTCCCACAGCAATCAGAGCCACATCATGTCCCTACTCGTTCACATTTCCTACCGTTGTGCTTTCCTCGTCGTTCCAGCTGCCGATCATCCGATGATCTGAGCTGATGCCGATGATCCGATGATCCAGCTCAATTGAGTCAATTCACGATTCGCTGGCCCAGCAATAGCAGGGCGCCGATCCCCACACACCACTGCGATTGCTGTTAGGCAGCCATTGGTGCCGCCGAAGTGTAAGCTCTTCGACCTGCTGCCCTTGGGACCACAACCGGACCGCACGCCATGCTCGCCACCCTGTCCATTGGGTTTGCACCCAGGAACGTAAAGCCGCCAATGGCACCCCTATACCGTGTTCGACCTGGCGCAGCAGCTGGCGTGAAGGCATAACGTTCGCGGGGTCCTTTTTCTGAGGAGCCCATTCCGGTCCCTTTCTATTTTGAAATTCACGACAATTGCGTGATGGTGTTGCAATTGGAGGGGATTAGGGCAAGGGCTGTAAGATACCTCTTTTAACGTAGAAGCCCTGAAACCCTCCTCCTCAACATAATGTGCGTTGGGATTTAAGTTTCAAATTCAAACTTTCCTGCGTTTATCCGATGATGAGGCCCAAACCACCACTGGCCTGTTCGAAAATTTCGTGAGCGGTATACCAACGAGGGACCCACAAGGTCCCAATTAGTAGTTGCCAGACCAGTCCCCATAGCTCTCGATCGCAAACCGGTTGATTCGTTTGTTAATTTTCACTGAAACGAGAAGAACTACCCATGATACCCATCGCTTACCGAGCTTGTCAGAGACACTGGCAGTCGCCACACAATGCTGACGATGCCAAGTGTGATCCCTTTGGAGACTGGGTGGTGCCTTCGCTGTGCCTGTGATGGAATCGAAATGGCTGTGATGGATTCAAATGATTTCAGCTAGCATCGCGAATGGCTTCACCAAATGGTGGATACTGCCTTTGTTCCTGCAAGGCCGTTACCTCACCCTGTGGAGGAGCCGAAGGTTGGTCTTGCTGAAAAGGAACATTAGTATGTTCGGTGATGCACATCCATGGAAAAGACAGCAAAAGGCAATCTATTTGCCTGTGGCGTGATGCCAGCTTGGTTTCCGGTTTCAAGTGTGTGTGAGACCCGTGATAACGTAGAGTTTTCCATTGCACAAGAGTTAGCACACAACACATGGCGCAGCGCTATGTCACAGCGCCAGCAACATTAAGTCCACAATGTTGACGACTTAAAACACGACGCAATTTTAATGACTTCCTAAAGCCACAATCTAACGGCTCAACCAATGGACCCTATCTCCACCGCCTGTCCACGAATCAATGAAAAGGACACGTGTCTGCCACTAAGGACACGTGCCCGTGCCAGTGCCCTTGGGCAAGTCCAAGAGCACGCCTGTCCACTCGCCAGTCAGCAAAAACTTCCGCGCAAGCAAGCCCACTCCACAGCCATCATATCTTCGTCACATCGCGCACGCTCCAAGCGATGCAACGTCCACCAAACTCACGGCAACCGATGCCCCGAAACCCACAGCCGGGAGCGACCACACGTGGCCCAGCACATGCAAACGACTCCAGGGGGAATCCAGCGGCAGTTTAGAACTGCCCTCACAGCGGCATTACTAACACTCTAGAGCCTATTCGCCCCCAATTGGCTGCATGCTTTCTCATCCGGAGACGCGGACCGATGGAAAACAAGGGGGCAATGGAAAACAGGAGAACACACTGGCCATTGTCGTATGGGCACACCCCCTTGGCACCTCGTCACCTCTGGTTGTCGCTGTGCACGGTGGCTCCCGAAACGCAGCAAGCGCTGGCCCTGCGCCCGGGCTTGAGCCTATCCTTCAGCCAGCACTCGCCCTCCTTGCGCCGCTCGCCCAGCACGTTGGGCTCCTTCACGAACGTCCACGACTGACACCCCCTCGTGCTCCTGCACTGCCGGCAGCAGTCGCCCGCACTGGCCACAACGTTCAGCAGCCCGTTGTTCATGTCGCCTCCTTCGTAGTCATAATTCACCTCCGTCTCGCAGGGGGGCGGTTTGGGGTTGGCCGACACCACGACGCCCGAGGTGCAGCACTCGTGCTCCATCCACCCGGGCTTGAACCTGTCCTTCATCCAGCACTCGCCCACCTCGTCGCCAAGTCCCGGCCCCAGCGCTTGCGGGTCCTTGACAAAGGTCCACGCCAGGCAGCCCTCGCTGTTGCCGCACAGGTTGCAGCAGTCCTGGGCGGTGGGCACCACCGTTCCGCTGTTGTTGACGCCGGTGAGGATGGTGATGTCCGAGCCGCGGTAGTCCACGTCGTCCTCGATGGCGCACTGGGAGGGGGCCGGGGCGGGGCGCGCCAGCAGAGGCAGGAGGGCGGCAAGGAGCACCGCGAGATTCATGGCGATCCGCCGCTCCGGCCGCATGGAGACGGGGATCGCTATCGGCGTCGCTGCCTGGATCGCGTTGCTTTGAAGGGGAACGCCGGTGCGAAATTGTTGTCTGAAGGACGGGGACTTGACCTCCAGACTGACGCGATGAGCAATTTGATGCCGTGCCTTCAAAACCATCCTCCGTTCGACAGCTTATCAGATAAAGTTCTCGCTAACCTGGGTGAAGAACACTCCTCCACGGCACGCAGCCGCACGTCGCCTTCCACGAGACCGAACTCCACTGTGTGGACACCGCAGCGTGGTGCCGCCGCTCGCTCCTCCACCCCCCCCTCCCCCTTGGAGCCGCATTTGAAATCTGGGTCGAGGCGATCGGGTGCATTGCTGGGAACCACCGCCCCGGAGGTGCCGCACCCGCTTAGCATTCCCGGCGGCGGTTTGGCAAATTTAACCGGCACTTGCCCACACTGCGCTCAGTGCCCAATGCGATGGCCGTCTGGACGGCGGTCTACAACGAGCGGCTGCTGCTGCCTTGCCACCGGTTGCAGTACGCCACAAGGGAGTCGACCGTTTTTAGTCGCTCACTGTTTGGGTCGCCGCAGCGGAAATCGACGTTGTGCTCGAAGCAGCAGCCGGCGCGCGCGGGTGACAGGGAAAGCAGCGATGCCAGGGCAGCAGGGATGCAGGGCCTGGATCTCGGGACGCACGCATGTGAATCGAGCATTCCTCCATGGTGGCTGACGTTTTGTGCTCCAGGTGTGGGCGATGGGAACATTCGAAGTGGCCAGTGCATGAAGGCAGCGCCGAAATGGCGCGGAAGCGGAGCTCTTTCGACCATTCGCTCGCCAAGGATTGGAAAAGCTATCCCCACGCCGGAGTTTCTGGCGGCGAGTTCTAGCAGAATTTCTGTATGAACTTCGCGTGGAGTTCTCAAGGCGCCACAATGGCCTTCACATCCGGAGGTCGCGGACAGCGTAGCGTGTGATAAGCAGAGTACCGGCTAATCGTACTGCATAGAACAAAGCCATATGAACAATATGACATAAACTCATCATGTACAATCTACGATCGCACAAGATCACAGCCGATTGATAGGTGGGTGTCTGATTCACGGGCATGGACAGAACGGGAGAGTTCATCTGCCTTCCAAGTAATCATCATGTAGTGAATCGCGAGGGACAACGCAAGAAAATTATGCCGCTTATGACCGAGTGGAGGAATGCAGGTGCACATTTGGTGAGCGGCTGCACGAATAGCCACATAGTATTACAGGGAAGACGGTCAGCGACGATGAGCTATAGGACGACATGGAGGTCCGACAACAGATGCGGCACTCATTGGCAAGAATATGGGTAGGCCCAAACAATTAAACCTGCAACCACCTTTGTTGATACTTCCTCCGTTTCAAATTAAATGAAAATTTTCTTGGGGAGACCATACCTGTACCACGTACTTACTATATTTCCCTGTAAACTTAGCCAGAATATTACACACAAATCTATTATATGCTATCAAAACTTTGTACAAAAGCGGATAAGTGTTGGTCAAATGGTTGTACTTTGAACCCACAGGATTTTCCGAAAATCCAAAATTTTCTCGCGCTGATGGCCCACTCCCCATAAAAACGGCCCCTCGACCAGGCCGATTTGCGATTTTCGGTGCGCAGCGCAGAGTGGATATCTACTGCCAACGTGGTGGTGCATGTCAGAGGCGTTCCTCTCGAAGTGCAGAAGCCGCAGAATTGAGTTTCATACCGCTCGATCGTCGATCGCGACCGTGGCTTTGATAGCCCATTGAGCATTTCAGATTTGGATAGGAAGCCGAGAAATCAGCGAGCTTCACAACGAAGGCATTACGAAAGAAACTGCCACAATAGGCCATAAGGAGCACTTTGAATGCCGCTCAAGCCGTTTTGAAGGACTGCTGCTGCAAGAGATTTTTGACGCTGTCCTTCCAGAATGCAACAGCACCACCATGCACCATTTGGGGTCTGCGACGGAGCTTCCACACCTTCCATAGGTCGTTTTTGGTGGGAGCAATCCCCTTTTGTGGGTAGGTTTTCCTAGAACTAAGTACGTCATTTATTGGAGATCGGCAACAAACGGAGAGGTTTCGGCGCACACATCGGTCCCAAGGTTAGTTTCAAACAACAGGGGACCTGCTCGCAACGGCAGATCCCAGATATGTCGTTGCACCGCAGTGGGCGGTTGCAGGGAATTCCACAAATCTGCGATGGCGAGATAACCAGCCACGCACCATCTGTGCCCGTTGTCCATTTTGATGGGTGGCGACCGATGTGCAAGTATCTGAGTGAGTCTGACCGCTCTACCCTTCCAATGCCCTGAGGTCCAGAAAGAGGAGTTGCGCTTATGTGTTGGGCCATCCCGGACACATGAACATATTTTTTGGTGGGCTGGGTGTGAGCTGGGAGGGACCAAACTCTAAATTGGAGTAGCGTAGGCTCAATGCATTGCCGAGTGCAGTGTGCTTGATCGCCCCCTCTGATTTTTTGGCAGCAGCTAATACATGTGTAGTAGATGCTGCGGTCTGAATTGAATTTTGAAGAAAAACAAAGGAGTACTTGACAGAAATTTATCCTCCCAACTAATTCTTTCATTTAATTTGATACAGATGATGCAGTGCATTCTATTGCTTTCATAGAAGCAGGATTAAGCAGCATTATGTATTATTATACATTCATTAAGTGGATTAGGCAGACCTAGTCTAAGAGCTGACATCGTGGCGGTTTCGCTATGTCGAACGTTCAGTTCATAACAAAATAAAAGACTTGTGTAACTCCATGTTAAATCATGAACCGGTGCCATGCCAACATCCATGTTTGGATCGGTGTATATCGGAACCCCGTCCATATGTTCCGTTTGAGTATATTGCAAGGCCGACACGCAACTGCCCAACGCCACGTTCGCGCATGCTGGCAGGAAGTGCTAACGCCAAGTTCCAAGTTCTCACGCCAAGTTCAAACGTGGCGCTAGGAATTCCCCAAACTCCCTACACTCTTGTGGGTATGTGTAACAGTGTGAATCCCGGCTCCACTAAGTTGCCCACCACGGAATGCATGCAAAGTGACACCACATCGCTTTGTTCCCCAAGAGCGACGGCAGCAGGCCGTTTTACCAGCGAAATTTCAATTCCTCTAGTTATATGGATAAGAGGGCGCTCACGTACTCACAAACTACCCTTTGCATTCTGAGACTGCTGATATTTGACATCGCGGCAGATGCTATATACACTGCCTGTGGGCAACTTTAATGCTGTGTCGATGACCGTTGAAATATCTGATTGATTGATTCACTGATGGAAAACGTTGCAGCTGTGCAAATGCAACAAACTGGCATTCCTGGATGCCAATAGCCCTGTTGCCAGATACTTTTTAGAAAATTTTGAAGATATTTTGAAAGAGATTTTTGCTGCACATGAATGACGGCAGCAATGCGTAACATTCCATTAATGTAAATATGCTAGCGTTGTTGTATAGCGACTAAGAATGTCAGCAACATTTGTCCTCGTACAAATTCTCATATCATGCAATTACATATCCAGGATATGAGCTTCTCTAGGATAGGAATACCCATTTCCTAGATGTGTCCTTGCCATCCCACCACATTCAGGATATGGATGCCCCTTATCCCGAACATGTATTTCTAAGATGTAACGCCTATGCCATGCTCGAAGCCCAGGATGTTGGAGGGCTACATCACATCAGGTATCCAGATTATGAGATTATGAGAATATGATCATTCTTGCTGACGTGACTAGCCTGCTAGTCTTGGTTTTGAAATCTGATCGAGCCTTTGAAAGGCACGCCTTGCCAAGCTCACCATGCTTTTGAATCAAAATAACACTGCGGCATAAAATTCGGCACCTGGCATTTATGTCCTGCCTAAGTAGCAGGTGGCGTTTATTGCACGATCGCAAACCAAGGGAGATGCGTGAGCCGCGCACCTCGTTAGGAATGCAGCGCATTAAAAACTGACACAACGCAATATGTAATCTGTGGAATATTTTACGGATTCACCTGATTATATATTGGTAGCGTGTCTTTTTGCTGGTGCAAACCGAGCAGGGGCTCCTATGTTTTGGTTGGACGAGGGAATTTGAGAGGGCATCCCATACATTTAGCCGACCTCGCCACTGAGCTGCTTGTAACATTAAAGGGAGGGTGTTCTTCGACAACACTTGGGAAATGGTATACGTTGGTGCAGTACTTTTGCTACATTGCCATTGGCGCAAGGCTGAGCCACTCCCTGGCAAAAGTCACATAGCCCAATAGTGACAAGCTTTCATTTCTGTGGAAATGTTGCGTCAATGTTGATATGCTGGCTTTGAAGCAGCGTTGTTCGGCGTTGAGCCATTGAAACCGTACACACAATATTGCAATAACGTCTGCCCTTTCAACAGATGAAGACATGTGTGCATATGATAACATCTATCTAGGCCAAATTACTGAAAAATATTATACCCTTCCCCACTGTAACGAAACGTTTGTGCAATTTATGCAGAGCAGCAATAATAACGTAACGATGCCTATAAAATGTGGAGCAGGCCCAGCCGCAACGCGAGGCGGAACTGCTCATGGCGTCTAGCGCCCCCAGGTAAATGAGTCGCTGTGGCGGAGAACCGGCATTTGAGGCCATGCGAATCGAGCGGAGTCGCCATTCCAGCTGCGATCATGATGCGGGCATCCCAAAGTAATGATTTGCCGGGAAAATACGGAGCAAACATTGTAACAGTGAGTTTCGAAATCACTAGTAAAAAACAGGCCAGATGACACAGTCCTGACACGGTCTGCTCAGAATCCAACAGTGTGCTTCTCAGTAAATGCGGTCCCAAAGCCACACAGTTAGTGCACACGTTGGCACAGTTTCAACCATGTACCCACAAACAACTGTGCAGTCTATGCAGTTTCGTATGTTGACAGCACCACGAACACTTGATATTAGCCATTCATGCGACAGCACCGCCATCCTTGCCGTGGTAGGACAGCCGCGTGACAGGTAGCCACCAAGAGCTTTAAAAATACAACACACATACAATACAAAAGGAAACATGAAGTACAGCAAAAACAGTACAACGACATAGGCAGCCTTCGTGAGCACGAATTTGAGAGCGCCACGAGAAGATCCTCTCCGAAGTCAGCCAGAAAGTGATATGTTGCTCCCCTCCGGAGCCCCCCTCGTCTTTACGTGCATCCAGCAGAAGTGATGGCGTCGGATTGGCGAGCCCACAAGACTTTGCTTCTCGGAGAAAGTACGCACACCATATGGTACACGTGCATGTTGAGCCAGCACTTCCCCTCCCCTCGGCGGTGTCCTGCTTCACGTACATCCAGGACACGCAACCGTACCTCGCCTTGTACTTCACACAGCATCCCTGTGCGGACGCCACATTGTCAATCCTTCAGTCGTGATTCCGCCCCTTTGTAATCGTTGTCGAAATCCACATCGAGGCAGTCGGGCGCCAAGCTGCAATCCAACGAGCCGGATATGCAGCACTTATGGGGCAGACCCGGCCGCTGGCGGCGCCTTGACGTATGTCCAGGGCCAGCAGGTGGTGTTGGACTGGTGCTGGCTGCACCAGGCGTCCGGGGAGTCCGCGATGTTCAGCCGCCCGTTGTTGTCTCCCCGCCGAGAAAATCGACGTTGTGTGCGAAGGTGCAGCCGGGGCGCGCAAGGGGTTGGGCCGGCAGCCATGCCAGGGACGCAAGGACCTAGGCTGCATGCATGTGAATCGAGAATCTCGCCATGGTGGCTGGCACTGTGCGGTGCCGGGAACCGGGAAGTGGGCACAGGTGGATTGGCCAATGCCAGGAGACAGCGGCGGCAAAATGACCCCGAGCCCGGAACTCCTTCTTGAGCTTGGAGCGGCAAACGTCTGCCCACTGATTTCGAGTGGCTCCCCCGTGGAGTTCGTGCGGGACTTCCGTGTGTATTCCCGCGGACTGCTCATCGGCCAAAGTGAACCTCGCAGGAGGAGGTCGTGGACAGCACACGTACATGTCAGGGGGAGGTCACAGGAGAAAGGCCAATGCCTGGAATATGCACCTACGTATTAGGCGGTGTCACCACGTAGTACGATGCGCAGTGCGTGGCACAACATGTTTTCAGATAGTCTAATGCGGGGTAAACAATATATATAGCCATACGTGTAACACATATTCTTATATGAGTACTGTGCGGGAAACTGTGCAATATGAAACAAACCAAACAAAGCAGAATGCACACTCCTAAGATCGTGCAGGCACTCAACACTATCGATTCTTATTCGATGGATGGGTGTCCGCTTCACGTGCGAGCACTGTCAACGCGCGTCGACAGTGGAAACAGGGCATGTTGCTGTCCGCTGCAGATTGCTTAGTCACCGCAATGTAGTTGTCAAGGTGATCCAAGGGAAAATGCAATTATCATGGCGTAGGGCTGCGCAGCCTCGATCGTGATCATATAATGCTGGAGCCATCCGTCCGTTCCCTCGCTGGAGCAGCGCACACTGGCAGGAAACGCTATTTTGACTATGTTGGCTGCGATGATATTTCCTTATAAAGTTACTGGCAAATTGCAAATGCGAAAACCGTCTGTGCTGGAATCGCAGTTGGCATCGCCAAAGCGTCGCTTCATAATGACAGCAAATTCACCTGACGCGTAATAATATTCATGGAGCCGTCCCATTGCCACACGCTAGAGCGTCTCAATGCAATTACAGGCGTGCAGGTGCACATTTGGCTGATAAGGTCGTGAATATTAACTTCTGCCCAATTGTTACAATCACAATATGCCAATCAATTGATTGAAAAATCCAATCCATGCGCATCTGAATTTTTTTCTCCATCCGTTCGATACAAGGGTGCAAAAAAGAGCTACCAAAGGCACAGTGACCCTGGTTGAATATACCAGACAACTGTCCGCACACGCGCTTGTGCATGCGCATTTCCAAATGCGTGGAAATTACATTTCAGAAGTCTGGGATGCAAACTCCTCGCACACTTCTGGACACCATTGTAGGTGTAATATTCTTATTCTGAATCGGAGTATTTTTGATATAAGATTAGCGCTCCTTGGCGCTTGATAATTTTGAGTTTGCGATGCAAACCACAACTCAACTTACGCTTTATGGAAAGGACACATAATGGATATAGCCCTGTTTTCATAGGGATCCACTTCAAAATATGGATGATGCAGAAACCGGACACGGGATGCAGCAGATACTCTGAACTGGGATACGTCCAGGTAGTTTCGCATCCATGCACAGCCGTGGTTGCCGTTCCTCAGGCGTCAGGCAGTCTCGCCTATTGCTGGCTGTTAATACGCTTTGGAACTTAGGTATACTCTTCTTTTCCCGGCATCCTTGGCTTAACAAGTCCCCAAAACATTATGCAAGGTTTGCCTGCACAGGTTATCCAGGCACGGATTACGCCAGGGTTCCCACCTCGAATTTTATCCGGTGAGGCAAATTTTTATTAATGCTATGTTCTAGATAACTGTTCGAAATAAATGTCCTATCTGTTGTGGGCCAAAGTGCAGATATGAAGACGACGTTTCTGCTATCTTATCCCACCGCAGCAGTGCTATACGACGATAGACGACAGCGTGCTGTATCATAATCGTAGATCAAAACCATTTTTATTCAAAAGAAGGATACAGAAGGAGGAGAAATTTCACCAATTAATTCGAAAACAAACTGCCGCAAGAGCTGTGCAAGATGTCTTTAACCCAAACGAGCAAGAAAACTAGCGGAAAGAAGGACATTTTTCTCCTATTCTGCGCATGGACTCACAGTATCTTTATAGTTTTCACCTACAGCCTTGACAATTGGACTGAAATACAATTCCCTTCATGATAGAGCCATCGAAAGCCATTTGGACAAGATCGTTGGACTAACAAAATGACAGTTCTCTTTACGATAGAGCCATCGAAAGCCATTTGGACAAGATCGCGCGATTCTGTTTGAGCTGTAAACTTTCGGGCAACGGAAAACTGAGCACGAAAAACATTCTGTCAGTGCCACGCAAGTCCACGCCCCTGCTTTCCCACCTTCAAAGCTCCAACCTGTCTTTGCTGCGCTCGCCCCGCGTTCGCGCAGCACCTCCATTTGAACTCGGATTCAAATTACCGCACAGAAATTGTACAACAACAGTCGGCGCCAAATTTCTGTGCGCCTCTGCCCCCATCCATCCCCAGCATAAAAGTCCGCCAGAGCGCTCAGCTCCAAACGCTCCCCGCCGCCCTTGCCCTCCCTGCCTCGCTCACTCCTCAAAACTTCGCAAACGCTCCGGTCCACATGGCGGCGCCCATGCACCTGGCGGCTGCCGTTGCGCTGGCGGCAGTCCTGGCCCTCGCCTCAACGGGTGCGAGCGGCTGCTCCACAGACTTCAACGTCGATTATCGCGGCTCGGACATCAACAACGGGGGGTCCAACATTGTGGGCTCCGCGCAGGAATGCTGCGACAAGTGCGAGGCCACCACGGGCTGTGAGTCGTGGACGTACGTCAAATCTCCAGGAACGCTGGGCACCGGACGCAAGGTGGGGAGGGGGGGTGGGGCCAGCCCAGGCTGTGTCCCAAAGCGATCACCATGTCATGGCAAGGCGCCGTCCGCGCAAGCGGTGGGATGGCGGCTAAAGGCCTGGATCGATCGCTGGCGATTCGTCGCGCAATACTGTTGTTAGCTCGCTCGCTGAACCTCACTCGCCCGCCGCGATCTAATTGTCATGACTGTTTTGTTGTCTGGTCGCTTGCTAAGCCTCAATTGCCCAATGCGATATCGCATGACAGTGATCGATCACTTTGCCATGACAAGGCGCCGTAGGCGCAAGCAGCTGCCAGCGGCGGATCAACAACTTGATCGATCTCCCGTGATGCCTAGCGCAATTCTGTTGTTGGCTTGCTCGTCGCCCTTTCCGCAGTTTTGTTGTCGGCTCGCTCGTTAAGCCTCGCTTGCCCAGCGCGATAACGATTTCATGGCAATGCGCATTCTGCCCAAGAATTGGCGATGAGGGACCAAGATCTTGGTCGATCGCGGGTGCCTCGTGACGCAAATTCGTTGTTGGCCCGCTCGTGACTAGTCATTGCTCAACTGCTCCCGCAGTTTTGTTGCTTGCTCGCTCGACAAGACTCACTCTCCCAACGTGATCAGGCTGCCATGACAAGGCGCCCTCCGCGCAACCTGTGAATGATGGCGGAACAAGAACTTGAATGACCGCCGGTAATTCTTAGCGCAATTTTTTGTTGGCTCGCTCCTGATTCCTTCTCAAATTTTGTGGGTCGTCTGTTCCTTATTCCTCTCTCAGTCTTGTTGCTGGCTCACTCGCTTTTCCTCCGCAATTTTGTTGCTTGCTCGCTAGACAAGACTCACTCGCCCAACGCGATCACTTTGCCGCCACAAAGCGCCGTCCGCCCAAGTATTGGCTGATAGCGGATCAAGACCTTGACTGATCGCTGGTGATTTCTGGCGCATCTCTATTGTTGGCTGGCTCGTGTATCCTCGCCTATTATTGCTGTTGACTCGCTCGCTAAGCCTCGCTTAACCAACACTATCACGCTGTGATGACAAAGCGCTGTCACCGCAAGCAGCGTTTGATGGTGGACAAAGACATTGATCGATTGCTGGTGGCTCCTTTCAAAGTTTTATTCCTACCCAGAAAATTTGCTGTTTGTTCGCCCGTTATTCCTCGCGCAAATATGTCGTTCGCTCGCTCGTCATTCCTCGCGCGTTTTTTTTGTTTGCTCGAAGGTGGGCGAGTGCTGGTTGAAGAGGGGCTACAAGCCGGGGTACACCTCCCACCCCTGCTGCACATCCGGTGTGGTGACCGGGTGCGAGATGGAGACCAACTACGATTACCCGGGGCGGGACATCAACAACGGGAACCTGGAAACAGCGTCGTCGGCGGAGGCCTGCTGCAAAAAGTGCAGGGACAGGTACAACTGCGTGTCTTGGACGTACGTGAAGGAGTACGTGAAGCAAGGAAGCCAGGTCGGGGAGTGCTGGCTGAAGGACGGGTTCAAGCCGAATCGAAGGTTCGACACCTGCTGCACCTCCGGCACAGTTTGAGCGCCGAGATTCTGAGGCTACCGGCGAAAGGGGGATGCAGCGGACGCCCTGTTTTGCCGCATGGTTGGTCGCGAAGCTTTTCAGCAGTAGGCCGCGGATTCACATGGATCGTAAAATGCGCTGTGCCGCGCATGAGACCGCGGGATTCCTTTTGCATGACTGCTGGCCTGCACGGGCTGCGTGGCGGGGATTCTGGACAGGCACAAAATGGCAGGTTCGCTGTTCATGGGGCGGCGCACACCACGATCGCAATAGATCACGAGCGATTCGATGGCGTCAGCTCTTCGCCCTGGTCTGCTTTCCGACTATGTACTGGCGGATGTAGAAATCGCTTCTGCTTCAACCATAATGTGAAACATCAATGTAAAATCGGCAAGCAATTTCCCCGCATTTCGAATATGCCAGAGATAATGATGGACACACCGGGGTGCCATTGACGCAACAGAGATTCTACCCTGTCCGGGGGGAAGTGCGCACACGATGGGGCTCCCCGCCTCGCGTGCACCTCATTGAAACACGCGGCTCTCGTTGCAAAATGTCCAAGCACATTAGTGCAATATTGATGCAATATTCGAAGTTCTACAATTGAAATTATGGCAAATGCGCCTGTCCAAATGCGGCCTTGGGGTGGCTGAAGCATCGTGACACCGCATTGGATTGCATTCGGGATAGGGGGGCGCTCGGGCAGCCTGCCCATGCTACTGTGCATGCACAGCTATCATGCCTCGGGCTACCGGTAAGCGCATGTAATCCCTGGAAATCGCGTTGGGTCTCGATCGTGATTACGAAATTTGCGGTCGCAGATAACAGTGAGCCAATGGCGGGTGCTGGTAATTACTGTTAAACTTTAGTTTAGCCCCTTGTTATGCAAACTTCGGCTTGACCAACTGGCCGACGGAATAAACCACGGGCTGGGTTGCTGTCCGTTTTCCACAAAGCGCCGGAAGTGCGCTCGCGGTGGTTCGCTTCCTGGTCATCCTGTATGCAAACGCAATTACTAGGCGCCACCAACTTGCAGCTGGTGTGCCGCTACCGCGCGCTTGCCTGTATGCGCACTGAGCCCTGCGAATCACATATTTGAATTTCCCCTTTTTCGGCCTGCTTTCGCCAAATCGTCGCTTTTCCCATGTGCGCACATCCCGCACAGTCGCTATGATAGCAGGCCAATGCTTTTCAATGTTGTCACGGCGATGACCATTGGATTTGCGTTGGTAGTGAGTGTGGCTGGAAGGGTGTCGCGACCCAACCAAAGCAGCGCAAGAGCCCCAAGGGTCAATGGTGCAATTGTCCATTTACTCAGTGCACAATGAAGTGCAGTCCGTGTAGCTACCAGTTGTACAATATGCTACAGCATGTTCGTCCAGTGAGGATCGGAGTCATCACTACTGATGATTGAAAATGATGACGAGTCACGCCACAGGCTGGGCCCTTCCTCAACCTTGCTCTACCAGCCACTTGCCTTGGTTCGATCGTGCGCAGTGGTTTGGTGCGCACAATAAAATTAGCCAAGGTGATAAAGGAACGAAGTAGCAAATTGGTTTCTGATTCCGCCAAGCTGACAATTGTCCATGTCGCAACATTTGCACATTATATGGATTGCAAGACTTCAGCAAATAGTGCATCAGCGCTGTAAGTATTGTCAGACGGAACCAAGTTCTTGTAATCCTAAATGTTGAACAGACTTCTGTTATGTCGAAGGAATCCCACAATGAGTGAGTGCGAGCGAGCGCAACGCACGGAGCTCTGTACCAAGCAGCTATGTATTGACGCCATTGACTGTAAATGGTGAAAATCATATGCTGGCATGTCAATGTAGAGTGCTTTCCGGTGCCAGTCTTCAACGGTGGCATTTCATCTATGCGAAAGCCCAGCCACGGCGCAAGTTCACATCCGCTGCACTACCAAAATGAGGTTACAGTGGCTGCGGCCCTTCAGGCGATTTCGCCAACATTGGTGTCCCACGGAAACGTGAATGAGCTGCAATCCACATTCTGCACGGCGCAACACACACTGGTAGAAAACGCCATGTTTGTGATGCCAGCTGCGATGCTATTTTGACAAAAATTGATACCGTCACAGTGAGTGCGATGGCACCAAAGGGGCTGTGATGGCATCAATTTGTGTCAAAATGGCATCGCAGCTGGCATCGCAAACAGGCTGTTTCCACTGGTGACAGGGCGGCGGCGTCTTTCGGAGCCAATCGCACAGATTCTGATAGCTACTCGCATCAATGGGGCATCAATCATGTAACAGCGTCTGACCACACAAGTGGCGAGAGGAGAAAACGAACGGATGCGGGACGCAAAAATGTTCTTGTATGTTACATCCCCGTCATCACCCACAAGGTACAAGGGGGCCACTTCACCCTCTCGAAGGCAGCTGGAGGGGATTACTGCAACTCGCCCCAATGCTGCCCAAGCAGTGCGATGCAACAGTGCGGCACGTCCATCACATCTTCAAAGCACCAGCAATGAGGTTCGCATAATCACTCCACGCTGATCCGCGGTGCTCTTCCCGGCACAGGAACCTGACTCAAACGCAAGTAAGGAAACTGAAAAATCCGGCACCAGGCGAACAGAAACCCCAAAATGTGCCAATCTTTCGAAGCCAACAGCCATATGAATACACCCCGGCGTTGCTGATGGGGACCTTCCAACTAATCAACGGGGCAACAAAGCACCGCCCATGTCGCCACACCGGTCACCGACTTCTGGCATTCGAAATTTGAAAGCAAACCAGGCCCGGTGCAAGCCAGCACAGTCTCGGACGCACTGCCCCATGGCGGCCATGCCAATAAACTTTACGTATCTTGGGGACGTACCTCTACGTATATCTATTGGCACGTATGTTGGGGACGCGCCGAGTGGGCCGCCCAGGGGCTCATCGGTGCCGGCTAAACCGTGCGATCCTCTGGTATGCCGCACATGGGGTGAGGCACTTGCCCACAACCTTCTGGACCGCCAAAGCCGCGTTGGCCTCCGATGGTGACCATGTGCAGCTGGGAGTTGCCCAGCCGCACAACATGCCCTCAGCAAGACCAGTGCAGCACAGCAGCCATTCATTCGGCAGGGCTCAGCACACCAAAACTGGTGACAAATCCACTCCCATCTTATCCCCAAGTGCATCCATCTTGTATCCCGGTGCCACCCTCAGCAGCTCAAGCATGGAACTGATGCGCCTAGAGAAAAGCACTAAAAATAGCTAGTTCATTTAGCGAATTCTCGAATTTCAATTCGGAACTCATGAATCTCATTGCATTGCCATGCACTCGATGAATTCGCTAACTTCATTTAAAGTATCATGAACCCAATCCATGAATTTCTTTTATTGGCAAGTAGAGATTGCACGTTCAGCCCTTCCGGCTGCCTTCACCTCCACTGCCATTCCGTCCATCCAGCCTGTCGCATGTCACGCAGCCGCCTCTCAACCTCCCGGCACGTGGGCCTGTCCATGTTTATCGGATTGAGACAGTCATACGTCAAGTCCCTGAGGTCCGTCGGATGCACCTCCCTAAAAGGGAAACTCTCTTTCGTCTCCACATCCACCTCATCATCTTGGCCGCCACCCTGGGACCCTTGAGGCCCGCTGTGGGTCCCCTGAGGCCCGCTGTGGGTCCCCTGAGGCCCGCTTTGGGACCCTTGGGCCCCCGAGTTGGACCCGCTGGCCTGGTTCAAGCCTGCAGCACTGCGGTAGAGTTTGGGAGTTCCGAAGGTGATGGTCTCCCACATCAAGACGCCCAGGGAGTAAACGTCCCTCTTGTTCAGATCGACGGGCTGCCGCCCGCTGCCGCGGAACCACTCTGGCGCCAGGTACGCTGGCGTGCCGCCCTCCAACTCGCTGCCGAGCACAGCCTCCGAGACGCTCCGTTCCTTGGGGTCCGACACGCCGAAGTCGGCCAGCCGGGGCACCCGGCGCTCGTCCAGCAGCACGTTCTTGGGCTTCAGGTCGCAGTGCCTGATCCCGCAGCCGTGCAGGCGCTGCAGTGCCCTGGCCACGCCGATGAAGATCTCGACCACGTGGGCGTAGGTAATGCCGTCCGTGCGGTGGTTGCTGTGGATGAACCGCGACAGATCTGTGGGCATTTCCTCTTCCACTATGAACAAGCCGGGGCCGTCGCCGCCGTGGCCCAGAAACCGCACGATGTTGGCGTGTTCACCGACCAGCCGGAGGACGTGGAGCTCGCGCCTGAGAGTTGCGGCGCCTATTTCCCGCTGGTTGGGGGCCGTCAGGGACTCTTTCAGGCGCTTCACGGCGACCAGCCGCTTGCCGTGCGGGGCGTCGCCTAGAAGTTCGCCCTGCACGATCTCGCACAGCAAGCCCTCCCCCAGCCTTTCACCTGTCGGGCATCAAAAATCGCTCATCAACAATGAGGAAAACTGGGTTTGAATTTGGCGGCCCAGCCCTGAGAAAATGCATCGGTGCTCTCTAAAGGAGCCCTGATGACCCAGAGCCTCACTGCCCCTATGCACCAACGCCCCGATCTTGTATGTCATGGAAAATTTGCATAAAAACAAGCACAAAATTTCCATAAACCAAAGGTCCAAATTTATGAGAGGAGATAAAGTCGCTGGGCGAAACAGGAATAGTGCAATGCACAGAATATCATCAAGGACAGCAAAATTTCTGTGCTCAGCAGGGCAGGTGTGGTCAGAGATGTGACATCATCAAAAATCCAAGTGAACTGCGAGGCATCTGGGGACTGGACACTGCACACCTGTGAGACGCATGCTCCTTTGCCCGCCGCTCAGCAGCTGGAACTGGAGGTCAGCCTGAATGCTGGTCAAGGGATGGCCTGAGGAATCTGGGTCCTGTGGGTCCATGTTTTTGCGCCTCAGGCGCCCAATCCATACGATCGCACCGAGCAGAATGGCGAGTCCGATGAAGAAGCTGGCAGACAGTGCCATCGCAAGAACATTCCCGGCGCTCCAGAAAGCGTCACTTGTGTCTCCCATAGGCGCTTGTGCTGTCGACATGCCCTGCATCGATGGCACAGTCGGAGTAAGCCAAAATTGACAATGTTTCCACCCCCTGAAAACCGGGATATATTACAGCCACGTTGATGGGGTTCGCTGCACTGAGTTTGTTGCTGGAGTTTGTTTGCTGCACTGAGTTTGTTGCTTCCTGTCAATGTTGCTGTATGCCCTGCGCATCAGTGCTCCATCGGCACGATTGCCCCTAACGTTGTCGAAGCTAAACGGTGCATGGGCATGGGGCAGAATGCAACAAACTCCTTGTGTCAAGGCCCATCAACATTGCTGTAACTCCATGCCGATTTCCGGATGAATGCATGTTTTTCTTGAAGCCAGGATTTCTGACTAATTGAAACTCCTGGTGATGCACAGGGAGTTGATTGTAAGAGTTGCTTCCCGTAGCATAAAAGCAAATACTAGGAGCTACAGCAAAGAGCCTGCGATGTTCATACAAAGTCGGGAGTCTGCTGCTATGCACCTCTGTTACCTGTGTGACCGTGACAACCTCATCTTCAAGGACACCATTGATCCACTCCCAGTGCTTGGGGACAAAAGTGTACACTTCAGGCATCATCCCTTGGCCACATTCCGCCTTCTCTTTTGAGAACGACGATATCCCAATCAGCACGTCCTCCTCTGGCCTTCCCAGGTTCACATCCGCCATTGGTGCATATGCCCTCAAAAGAGGATCGCCGTGGTGGCCTATGGCAACACAGAGACCTCCCCTTAGCCTGCTTGGAAATTATGAGTGGGGCAGCAAACAGCAGTGGAAACGAAGGCAACAGGAAAAGAAACTGGACCCGGGGCCGATGTGTGGGGGCTGCAATTGCCAAACTTTGAGCAGCTGGTCGTGCACAATTGGGATGCAATATAATGGAACAAAAATGCAGCAGCCTGGTAGTGCCTCACACAGCACGTTTCAGGCCTGTACCATCCAGGGCTCCTAGAAGTTCGGAATTGAGATACTCAGGCACTGGGTGATGACAACTGTGCACCCACCTGTGTTCTGTCCATGTCTGTAGTCCTTGTCTATGTTGTAAAAATGATTATTCAGACTGCCAGCAGCTGGGGCAACTGGAGCAGGCACACTGCTGCCAGGGATGCTGTCTTTTCCACCAGGGAACGTGACATCGCAACATCGTAATTGGTCATAAAAGGGGGCTTGACATGTTAAGTGTGTGTTCAGGCAGCACCGAACTGCAATGTCAGTCATCGAAATAGTCCTAGTTAAACAAGAAGTCCTCATTGATCGAACGTCGTGGAGTGCATGACTTGCAGCACCTCATGCCGCGCATGAGGGATCCACCATTTGGTGCAGAATTCCGATGTCAGCAGACCGTAACATCGACCAACAGGACCCACGTACACTGACTTGTCAGGTTGTTGTCAGGCATGCCACTGTTTTAAGTGGGTATGCCCAGAAGCTGCTGGGTCCAGATTCCTGGACCCACTTGCACAAAATGAGTGTAGCATGCAATGAATGAGGCCTCATTCACAGTGCTTCATTCCAACAGGAAACAAGAGCATTGGCAGAGCGCTTCACAGCACTTTGGCAGCATTGTTCCCACCTTCACAGCTGGGCCCAATGCCATGGAAGAAGTTGAGACCGCAGAACATGCCTTCCCTGATGATGTTGTTCCACAGGCTCGGGCCATTGCAAAACTCCGTCTCCAGGACCTGTATGTCTGGATTCTGCTGCAGACGGGGGGCGATCGGCCCATCGGCAACCTCTCCCCAACCCACTTCCACCAAAAGTTCGCCATCTTTCACTGTCGACCGGGTACCGGCCACTCGGACGAGCTTGTTTCTGGAGGGAGCATCCAGTCGCACCAGTGCCAGGTCGTTTCCAGCCATGGCATTGCCATTCCATCCATCAGGATACACCACACTCTCAGCAAGAAAACTCTGCAAGAGGGTGCACAGCAGTCTTGACAATCATTCTGTGCATGACCAGCTGTTAACAGCACCCACGAAATCCAAGAGCTTGCAGTAGCTGCTTCACCTTTGTTGAAAGTGATGATGCACGGCACTTTATATTCTGAGAGCATTTAACAAAGCCAACAATGGGCATGCTTGCTGTGATTCGCATTGCTGCTCGCACGGGATATGCAGAAGGGCAGTTTGCAAACTGGCATCAGAGGGGGGCAGACACACTCATGTTGGAAGCTGCTGTGCCAATCATCGTCTGCAAGGTACAATCCACTTTGTGAACAATGTGGTGAACAAATAATGCCTAGAGAACCTGCAGCATAAGCCCATCACACTATATCTGTGTTTTTGTCTTTGCGATACCACTACCATCAGTCGTGGCAATGGCTGTTGCCTCAGAGCATCAACCTGAGGTCATTTTCTTCCGTTTTCAGTGCTGCAATTCGTTCCAAATGATGAAAATAACCATTTCCCTTTATGTTCTAATTTTTGCAACAGCGATCAGCATCATGTTAACTGGATTCAATCTTCATGTGCCACATTCCAAGTGTGGGGCTTGGTGCACCCTTGTTTGAACAATGCTGTGTGTGGAATGTTGCCCTGCACTCCCCTATAGGTGCAAGGGGTGTGCTCATCATGTTTGTGGAAGCTTGTCAAAAGGATTGTGTGTCTCTCTGCTACATGGAATGAACAAGGAACTCTTCTCAGCGAAAACGGGTACGACTAAGTACTGCTGAGCATTAAACCTGGCATCCACCTTTCCCAAAAGTTGCTATGCATTGATCTGCACAAACTATTGTACATCGGCTTCCCTTGGTCAAGCAATGCGACACCCAGCATCTTGCGCAGATCAGTCCATGGTACCAACTTGGAGAAGTCGATTCCAGATTGCATCTTCAAGGCAGAACGAGCTGGCAGGAACAAGACAAATTGATGACAGGATGACCCTTATGAGGCCTGATAGAGACAACAAGCTCTCCACAGGTGGCACACAGAGTAGACATGGAGATTGCCGAAGCCTTCTGCATGCCTGTGTACCCTTTGGCAACCTAACCAGGGCATCCAAGGGAAAGTAAAAGAATGATCGCAAATGACTGGCTTCCTTCCAAGCAATATGCTCAGAGATCCCCTAGCAGTGCCCCAGCATAAACATCCTGCCTCTTAAGCAGATAATTTCATTGGCACGTTGCATGTACCCATTCTCGATGAGGGATACACATATGTCAATTGGCACCGCCCCTGCCTCTGTCCTCAGAACGCCGTTGCATACTAACAAGTGCCTGGAACATTTTCTCACTCTATGAGAACCATGAAAAATCAAGCTAGAGAGAGAAGACTGTCACGGGTCAACACAGCACAGAATCCCACCTCGAAGTTCTCGTTTGTGCCTTCTGTGTCGTTTAGCAAACAGCCCCCAACCTTGACAATTGGATGGGGTCCCAGTGCATGAGGGTCAGCGCGAGAGTCAACACAGTGTGCCGCAGTCAGCACCCACACATCCCCAACCAGCACCCCGTTGCAGTGGTGTTTGTCAGATGAGTCCCGCAATGATGCCATATATGGGTACCGTTCACAATTAGCATCCTGGCACAGAGAACGCTTGTGGTCAGTTCTTTGCCTGTCAGCTGTGACAGTTGTTGCCATTGCTGTTTCCTTCGTAGTCCAAAGTACTGCACCACATTCAAGAACCACATGCCACCCTGACTGAAGAGATGTGGGCCTGGTGCTACCCCTTGATAAAGTGCAAGGCATTGCGAAGTCCTTGTTGGCATTGTTGCCATTCTGCTTCTATGATGTTCCAGGGTAACGTCTTTGCCTGGTCCAGTATCCATCCAGCACGTTCTCAGTCTGGTAAATATTCCCCAAAATGAGGAAATCACTGGCCTTTTGTGGAATGACTCGATCACATACAAAGCAAAGAAACAGGATGGAAACATCCCCAGCAAAGCCCCTCAGGTGCATGGCCGGTGCCAAGTCAACTTTGAGAGTGGTGATCAATTCCCAACTATGCACACAGACACAACAACCTCAGAGCAAATGCACTGCAGCCGCTACAATCTATCTGTGCGAAAACAGGACCTATTGTTGTACCTTTGCAGCACTCTCATTCAACAGTGCCACCACCACTCACAGCCCACTGCACTTCAGGTGTATCCTTCTGTACTTTAATATGTCCTGGACGTGTGGCCTTGCACGTCTGATCGACATACTCACGTGTAAAGGGTTGTCATCCAGGCCTGCAACTGCGGACAAAATCGGTTATGGTCAGCGAAAAGTCGTTGCACCGTGGTCAACAGCACATACCACAAGATGAAGACCAGGGAAAGGTCAAACGAGCGAGTTGCTTGCCAAAGACAAACACTTTCGTTGTCTCTGGCTGCCTCGCAGGCCCCATAGACCGACGCCCAAGTCCCGATGCATCGGTCCCCTGATCACCCATCACGTTCTGCACCGAAACAGCCTCGTTGCTCACAAGGGCTTGCACGTATTGAAGTGCAACGCGCATTGCAAACCGCGTTGCAAGCCAAACAACGCGCGCTTCGGATGCGCAAACGAACAACCCCGACTTCAAGCCCCTCCGCTCCCCCTGCTCGCCTCTCCCCCTGGGGGCTCCTGTCTTGTCTCGTGAAGCCGCGTCCAATCGCACAGCCCACCGCCCCCGGCCTCTCCCGCCTTGGCGCAAGCCCATGTGCGCCACCGGTCGATCGGCGTCGACTGGCTGACCCACGAAACGAGCACCGGAGCAGTCGACTCCGCAAGGCCGCCAACGGATTCCCCCCCAAAACCAGGAATAGCGAACAGGGAAAGGCAGCGGGAAAAAAAAGAAGTTGCAGTAACCGCAAGGCCCCTCCGCATCGCTTCCCACCGCGCTTGCTCGGGGAGAGACGCCCTGCCGTCGCCCCGGAGCGCACAGCGCCCCTCGCTCTGTTGTAGAAGTGTCGTACTTCGCCATGGCACTCCCACCGCTGGTCCTTCCGCACGCCGCTCATGGCCCTGACCCTCGGACCAACCCCGCGCCGCTCCGCGACCCAAGCCAGGCGGCGCAATGCACAGCCAACTCCGCCCCCCGCCCCCCTCCCCAACGCGTATTTCGCCCCTCGCTGGTCCCGCAATTGCGCCAACTTCCATAGTGTGATTAAGCGACTCAGAATTTCTCCCCCGGGTGGTCCCGTCGCTTGGCGTGCAACGTCAAAACCATGCGGACGGACAGCCCACAGCGCCGCCCCAACTCTGCTTCAAACATCCCCATCATCCGAGCACGGGATGCGCCTCACCGTCAGCGCCGTCCGCTCCCCTCCAGACAAGCAGGCACGCCAGCAGTGTCGCGATTGCCACCCGTTCGCAGGGGGCTGTGACAAAAGGTGCTGCGCTCATGAAGAAGCCAGAGGTGTTGCCGTTAAGCTGGGGTTCCTCTAGAGGGAGGGGGCGGCTGGGCCGAGGCGACGAATCTGTGGAAATAGGGAGGCGGCTGCCTGCCTGATGGGTGCTCTGCCGGTGGGGGCGTCCGGCGGGCAACCTTCTCTCCAAGGCGTGGACACAGCGGATTGGGGCATTTTTGGTTTGAGGGGTGTGGCGGGGCAATGACGAAGAGTGAGGGAGTTTTGGTCAAGGGGGGGATTCGGGGTGAAAGTGGCCATGCGTGGTGAAGAGCAGCTTCCCCTTGCTCGACCAGGGTGGGCGGGCGCAAAACAGCGCCGGTGACCCGAAACGTCTGGGCGGACATTTAAACGTCTAGGGCGATGCCCCATTGCTGTGGCGCTTTCCTGGATCAGTCCTTTGTGCGTTGTCACTTCAAGGAGGACGGTTGCAGGACCTGTGCCACCATAGGGAGATGGAGGAGTCTTGAGCAGCGGCCCTGCACTTCATGGCATGGCAAAAGCCGCACTGCGGCGAATATGCAACCTTGTGTGTCCCAGTGCTCCAGTGCAAAGCCGGCATCTAGCCTGCTTGCGGAGTACGTGTTGAGAGCGCTCAAACATCACACGTGCAATCCCTGTACTTCAAGACTTCAGATGCATGTGCTTCCTGAACTGAGACGCGCAAGTCAGGAACAATTGCCGTATCTTATCAAGCTATCTTGACACTATGAATATATGGCAGTGTGAGGGCGACAGCCAACCGTAGGCAGACCCACCAGGTATTGCAAGCAAATATGAATCAGCAGTGCATTGGCAAATATGATCTTATGCGAGCAACAACATGCATGATCGACCAGTGTATGTCCAGAAAACGCATGTTAGAACTATGAGTTTTGGGAAGGCACTATAGTGGTTTTGGTATGCTTAGCGTCAATTTAGCGTTGAACTCAGAGAAGATCCCACCCAATTGACCCTATTGCACGCGTATAAGATCGCCTCACGCCGCACAAATATTTGTACCCTCAGGCTGAGGGGGGAGCTGCCATCCCACATCGCCCCTCAAATACGGAGACGCACAACACTCTGTCCCTTGGGGAACAGAGCGAGAATACCAGATTTCATGGGCAGAGCTTTGCGTTTGCCAGGGCGTGGTAATAAGGCGACTACATACAATGCGACAAGGACCAGCCAGCACCCCAAAGGCTTCTTTCTTGAGTATGGGCGATCCTCGCCGCATGAACCACCAGCCATTCAACACGAGCACATACTTTAGGCCCCGCTGATTGGCATCCCAGACGACAGTAAATTTTTTCACAGCACTTGGTGTGCTCTTGGTTGACAATTTATTAACGCGCGAGGACCCAAACACTTGACAAAGTTTCTAGCAAATGAACAGAGCCGTGTCCGTCGCCACAACACCAGGAACTGAAGGGCCAAATAACACGTGTTCAAAAGTGTGCAAAGTTTGTGGGTTTGGATTATTTCCGTGTCCTTAGCATGCATTGCAGGGACCTTGATTCTAGTTATAAAGGGGTGGGGTGGGGGTTAGCTGTATAAGTGGCCGGAAACAGTTGCGTTTCTCAGCAAAGCAACTTAGAAAAGGGTACAAGAGATACGGTAGTTCCATTCCCCTTCTAGCCCTCAGCTTCCATCATGACGACTCTAGCCCCAAGGACATGAAAGGCGCTCTAGACGATTCGCTCATGGAACCTGCAGAGCTGCAAATTTCATCAAGGTCTACGCATAACATCGCCTACTCGATGCCACGATGTTGCCCAAACTTTTGATGCTGCGTGTATCCTTTTCAAGCAACGAAACTGTTGAGGTGTAAATTATGATTCCGCATCGTCCTTCAAGTATCAGAAGTCACATGTCAAATACCAAATATCAGCGACAGTGCTTCGCCCCAACCAGCCAGCTATATCCCATATGATAATACAGTAAGGAACAGCCAATGAGCCAAGAACTTCTTCCAAGAGAGATGGTTGATTTTTGTTGCATGAATCAGAAACGATTCAACCCGTGCACATACATGGAATATTTTTGCTGCGCTTGGGGCGCCCATGATTGAGATTTTAATAAGGCATGTGGACCCAAACACTTGAAAAATCTCGTGGCAAAGTCGGCAGGGCCGTGGCCCAGGCCACGGGGGTGGGGGGGTGGGGGGTGCAGAGCATATCAGAAGCGTAATTACTAATCATGAATGCGTTGCCGAACGTTGAGCTTGCAACGCCTATTTACATAGGGTTGGCATGTGACACACGTAGGAAATGAATGCAGTGCCTTGAATGCACATGGCAAGCCTTGCCTCACCATCCCCATCTATGAACTCTGATGTGCCACCCTGGGTGGCGCACTGAATACAAAACCCATATCACACTATGAAACGGAAAACTTTTTCGAGAAATCATTCCCCACACGGCGAATGATTCTACATTTTCTTGCTAAATTTGCTCCAGCAGGGCCACATCGGCGTCCCTCCATATGATTAGATTGTTGTGGTGTCCCTGCCTCCGAATTTGGAGACACAAAAGCCCACCCTGGGTGGCATGCCCAAAAGCAAGCGCACGTCGGGCAGACGAAGCCCTTTTGCGAAAGCCACCCTCAGCACCGACAAATATTGCCACACTTGCATGCTAAAATTTCCTTAGGCAGGGACACCTTTGCGCCCCTCAAAAACAGAAGATGGATGTGATGTCAATGCCTCCGAATTTGGAGGCACGAATTCCCCAGCAGGAACAGCCTCCCAAGGGAAGCAGCGCACGCTAAGGTGAAGAGTGATACGTGAACACGCGAAAAGCCCACAAAATCCTGCAATTCAAAGCGAGCAAATCAAAGGCGGCAGGCACCGTCCATGCTCCAAAAGCACCATAGCGGCCATCGAGGTCCCGCCCGCGCTCTCAAGCCACGCCCGATGTGCAGCAATCATTCCTCTGCCTTCCAGGCTTGACCCTGTCCTTGAGCCAGCACTCCCCTACCTGCAAAACAGCATGAGAGAGAGCTGAAATTGGTTGGCAAAACGACCATGGCCCATTCGAATGGCGAATTCTTTCCGTCGAGGGCTAGGAAATCCCATTGCGCGGTGAGTGTTGCCCACCTTGCGTCCGGTGCCCAGGGCGCTGGGCGTTTTGACGTAGGTCCAGGACCTGCAGCGGCTGTCCCGCGCGCACTGGTCGCAGCACGCCTGCGGGGACGTGACGATGTTGGACGCCCCGTTGTTGATGTCCGATCCCCTGTAGTCGTAGCCGACCTCCGCATCGCAGCGGGCGGGTGCCACGCCGGAGATGCAGCAGTCGCTGGAAATGACGTTGTTCCTGCGTGCGTTCTTGAGCCAGCACTCTCCCACCTTCGCAAAAGACGGCACGCAGAGAGTGACCTCGGTCGGCCGGCCGGTCACGGACGCGCGGGCAACTAACTGGCTTGCAAGCGGTGCAGTCAAGTATTGGGGAACGCCGTTGAACGGGGGGTGCTGCCCACCTGGCGGCCGGTGCCCAGGGCGCTGGGAACCTTGACGTAGGTCCAGGACTCGCAGCGGCTGTTCCGTCCGCATTGGTCGCAGCAGGCCTGTGCGGACGTGACGATGTTGGACGCCCCGTTGTTGATATCCGAGCCGCGGAAGTCGACGTCGTCTTCGAGGGTGCAGACCGCGGCAAGCGCGGGAGAACTGGCCAGCAGGAGCGCCAGGGCCGCAAGGGGCCAGGCCGCATTCATGTGAATAGGGGCCGTCGCCATGGCGGAGGGTGTGGGTGGGGGGCGGCGGCGGGCGGGTATTTGTAGATTCCCCGCGGGTGGGCGGCCGTGACGGAATCGCGCAAGAGACCCGGAACTCACCCTGACGAACTGCGTGCGTAGGGTGTGCGTCGGATGTGGGCAGTACCCCTTCTCTGAAGCTTGCATTGAGTTGTCCCATCAGGGGTTATGAAGGTGTGGTTATTGATCATCGCGAATATTCGTGTGCGGTATGGTCGATCGACCACGATCGAGAGGTGTCGATGAAGTGTAACATCAACGGCACGCGATGCAACGTACGTGAGTCGATTCGGAGGAGAGCCATGAACTTGGAACAGGGCAGGGGGCAAGGGCGTGCAGTGGCGGAGCGTATAATGAGCAAGTGATCCTGCATATGCTCTCGGGCCCTATGCACCCAGGGTGATACACCCTGGGCTACAGTATTCGCTGTCACCCGCATCTGAGACCATGCTCCCCTCGCCATCTGTGGTCCTGTTACTGTCGTCGCTTTGGGACCTTCCGATATGTGTGACAGCACAGGCTGAGTGCACACCTCAAAGCAAGGAGGCTAAGTGCCCCAGGAAGCGCCCGCTGTGGCTATCACGCGATATTCAGCGGACGTTATGCCGTCATTGGTGGTGAAAAGGACGGGGCCACGCATCTGAATTCTCCTTGCGCGGAGTTTCAACGACCTATCACAATAGAGCAGTCTCACTATGTTGTTCTGTGAGCTCTTGTTGGGAAAACAAAGCTCAGACACGGAGGACACGGCAAGAAAGCACTGGGGGGCTCCGGTTGTCTCCCTGATTGAATAAAATCGGAGAAACCAACCACCTCTCTGCCGTGTGTGCGCTGATAAGAATTATCAACTTTACTCCTGCGTTGAATTAGCAACGCTCTGCATAATATTGTAACTGTTTGACAAGTGTGCTTCAATTGCATCAATTCCATATCACTTTCATGTTAATTGTAAGTAGGGAGTTACGAGATTCCTTGCAGTTTACCTATAGAACAGTGTTTTCCTTTGTCGAAAGGGATATGAATTCATGAAAATCACGCTCTGATCTAGAAGCGCCATCTTGTTTGACCCTGACCAATCTGTGTCGCCTTCGTTACAATTTGCACCAACAATCTCGCCCCAGATGATCCAGCCTTTGCCGCTTACAAGTGCGGGTGACCGAAGGGTCGAGGGAAGCACTCCTTCTTCATTCCAAAGCGTTGCAGTGAAATTTAAGACGCCAGGATCGCTCCCTTGATCAAGGTGCACAGGTTGGCGCCGGGGTCAGCATAACTGTAGACGGAGGTAGTTGCCAGAGAATTATCTGTTATTAATTGTGCATATAGTATTGCATATCAGAACTGAATTCCGCATTGAAATGCCCGGGCATCAAGGTTTCCTTCCCATCTTGTGTCCACATCTCAGAAAAGAATTTTGCATTAAATGGAATTCTGCATTTAAATGCCCAGGCGAAGTTTTCCTTCTCATCTTGTTTCCAGGTGAGAAATCCTCGAGGCGCCATCACCTGTGTCCCTGGCTGAATGAGCGAACCCAGTTGCTCCAAAGTAACAATTCCGCGACTCCTCAACCGCTGTCGACCGCTAACGTATTCACCAGGTCAGGTGAATATCGAGGAATGCATGGGAGGATATGAATATGTACATGGTGCCGAGTCAGCAATTCTTGTGCTGCGCTGGGCAGCGCTGAGTACCGTCGCCTGTCCGCCAAGTTCTTCTTCTCTTGGAGCCTCGGTTCGCTGATGTACGCAAACAGCCCCATCGCGCAATTAGCTTCATTGCTGCAGAAGCAAGTGGTTTCCCGGGAAAGCATACAACACGGGGGTAATTGTCTCAACCATCCCGTGTTCACCTTCTCCGTCCACAACTTCCGTGGCTGCGCACCTACGGGCCTTCGAAACGCACACTCGCTCGTCCCACCGGAAACGGCAGCGCGCCCCTTCCGCGCCCACAGCCCCTCCCCCCCCTTCCCGCGCATCCCGTGAATTCTTCCTGGACCCAGGCAAGTCCACGCAAATCGATTCCACCCTGGATCCATGCAAATCCTCGAATATCGATTCCCATGGCAGCGGCGGCGCTCACAGCGCTCCTGGCGACCTGCCTGCGCCCGACCCCAATCCGCCCTCATCGAGGCGCGCCCTCCCGCGAAATCCCTCACAATGTCAGATTGTTGTGGCGGCCCGTCCTCCAATGTTATGGACGCAAATTCTCTCCAAGTCAAGACTCGCACAGAGAGGCAACGCATGGCAATGAGTTCATTGATCTTCAAAGAGCAATCCGTATGCGTCCGCTTCGCAGCTCAGAAATCAAGACGCAAAGGCCACTGAAGACCCACAAGCCCACAAGGCAAGGGGGGGCAAAGACGAAGGCTCTTGGCTGCGCTCCTGCACACAGCAGCCCACCAGCAAGGCCCAACCCACGCCCCGCCGCCCTCAAACCACGCCCGACGTGCAGCAAGTGTCATACTTCCTCCCAGGCTTGACCTTGTCCTTCAGCCAGCACTCCCCCACCTGGCTCCCGTGAGGCTTGTGCTGCTTCACGTACGTCCACGACTTGCAACCGTACGTGGCCTTGCACTTGTCGCAGCAGCCCGCCGGCGACGCGGCCGTGTCGTGCCTGCCGTCGTTGATGTCGTGCCCCTTGTAGTCGTAATTGGGCTCCGAATGGCAGCCCGAATGATGCGGAGGAGGCGGCGACCCCCGCTGCACCACGCCAGAGATGCAGCAGCCGTGGCGAAGAGCCCCGGGCCTGTATCCGGTCTTCAGCCAGCACTCTCCCACCTTTGCCAAAAATTATTCGAAGTGAGTGTGTGACATCGACCGGCCAACCAGCCATGAGCCCATGGCCCGTTCGCTATGTCAACGCTTGTGAAAATTCGCCGGGGAGCTGCACCCACCTTGCGCCCCTTCCCCAGCGCGCTGGGCAGCTTCACGTAGGTCCAGGAATCGCAGCGGTAGTCGTGCGCGCACTCATCGCAGCACTCCTGCGCGGAGCCGACCACGTTCAGCCTCCCGTCGTTGATGTCCGAGCCGCGGAAATCGATGTCGTGCTCGAAAGAGCACTTCCCGGCGCGCGCGGGCGGCGGGACAAGCAGGAGCGCCAGGGCCGCGAGCAGCAGGGTCGCATTCATGCGAATCGGGGGCCTCGCCATCGTGGCTGCTGTCTGCCGTGCTGAGGGGTGGCATGGGTATTTGTAGTTTCCCCGCGGGCAGAAGGCCGCGCTTGGATCCCGTGGTGTGAATCCGGAAGTTCCCCAGACGACTGCGTGCGTCAGATGTCTGCTCGCTGAAGTTCGCGTTGAGTTACACGAGGGCGGCTGTGATCACACCCGATGGCCGATCATGATCGATCAATCGCTCCCGACTAAATGGATCATCGATTGCATGTGATGTGCGACGCGTGCGCCTCGCTCGGGGGGACCGAGGACCGGCGTAGGAAGGATGAATCTCGCTCAGGTGGTGGTGAGGGCGCGCAGTAGTTGGGTGAGTGTACTGAGCAGGGCCTGGTCTGAGGGGTGTGACGTGGGCTGGGGTCTTTGCTCCCCGTGACGAGAAGTGAGTTAGTCTAGCCGATGGGGCATTCAGCGAAGTTGCCTGCAACAAGTGCAGTTTCCCATTGATCGACCTGGCAACATCGAAGGAGGCCGCGGCCAGCAGCTGCAGTAATAGTGGCAGTAGCTGCACCCATTGCCTTGGCCGAAACTCAAACGTCGTGGTGACGATGTGTCCACGAGGTGCCCACAACGTGCCCAAGACGTGCTCACGACGCGACCATGATCATGGTCGTCGCATCACGTCATAATCTCACATCACATCATGGCGTCGCATCAAACGGTGCGGCAGTGCCCATGAACACTGCCACCTTTCCTTTTCAGCTGTCATGGATCAGCTCCTTGTAACCTACACATTTTCGCGAGCGAGGGTGTTCGCACAACATATTATACGTTTGAAAGATGCGTGAATCATGAGCAGCGCCCGTGAGTCTCATCGCACCTGAGAGCCGCATTACTGGGGCTACATCCTCGTCGTCCAGTGCTTCAATGCAACCCTATGTCTGTCGAAGTCAATCTGCGGGGCAACCCTCACCGTGCACCGATGAATGGTGGAAGTGCTCAGAAGCTGCACGTGCATTCCCCTGCACCTTAGCGGCAAACGGCTCTTCAAGGGTCTGTACGCAGCTGCTTCAGATACATCGGCTTCCAGAAATAGCCCTATTCGCGCCCTGGCGCGAATTCGCCAGCACTGCCGTATATTTTCAAGCTACCTTGACGCAATGAACCCGTTGCAGCGCGATGGCGACGGCGCCAAACAGCGTTTATAAACTTATGCTCCTAATTAGGAGGCAGCCAGGCCTGAACACGCCAGCCAAATATTGCAAGCAAATGCGCATCAGTTGTGGATTTGTAGCTCGAAGCAATTGATTGATCAAAGCAATTGAATGGGCGCTCGAACAGTCAATGTCCAGTACATGCATGTCATGGTGGTGAGTGCGGCTCTGTGGACAGAGAGAATTAGTTAGGCCCAATTGTTGGAAGGAAGTAGTTACGTGTCCAAACGTGGCAGCCGAGAATGCGGCAAAGGCGATCTGAGCGCAGTGTCCTTCCAAAGCAATCCCCTATTTTCACTGACAAATTCAAGGCTCCATCACTCGAAAGGCGTCTTAGGCCACTGTAATTAAACTCTGTAGATTTCCAAACTGCAGCATGCTGTGCAAGCTCGATGCTGAAGCTGGTTTCATTTGGTGCGTATCGGCCAAATCAGGTACGAATGCAACAATTTTGCCATATGTGTGTGGTACTGCGGGTGTCTTTTGCCAACAAAACCACACTTGAGTCGCAGCTGTTATTCCATGTCGTTCCTCCAGCACAACGACGCACAACACGCTGATCTCATGGTGGGGGAGGGCGCTGGGTTGCTTGCTCAATCCTCGAAATACGGGATGACATGAAACTTGCGAGCAAAGCTCTATACATCTCCAATCCATTCTCACTAAAATGCGGAGCCAGCACACCCAGAGTCTGGAATCTCTTAGTCGACGATTTATTTGAGCACCGCACTGGCTAAGCGTTTGAGCACTGCATATAAAAGTCCCAATATTTGACAGGAATATTAATCTAACGAGTCCCTTACTGTGGCATCTGACCAGAAAAATTATATCATTGTTGATTGCATTCATGGTATGAGTTGCTAAAGTACTACGCGTATTTTGGTACTGACAAGTGCCTTTTTGTTGTCAACCTGTGCCACAGAATTGCAAGCAAGGGCTGCTTTGATTGACAAGGGTTCCGCCGTGATTGAGCTAGCTAGCTCACTCAAATCTATATATTTAATTTGGTATGACATTTTGCGCAAGTGCATACCTTCAGGAAAAACCTGCACAGCATGCTCGCCTCCTCAGAGGCTCACTGTAGTCCAATCTCAACAACGGCCATGACCGTCATCATCCCTGTTCCCATCACTTATTCACAACACGCCTTCCACCACAGAAACCGCCCGCAGCTCCTGGACCATAGGCCAATATACCTTCCTCCAACCCCCTCCCCTTCCCCGTCCCGACGCCCTGGGACTTGTTATGGCCAAGATGCGAAGGGCGCTCGATGTTCATTGGGTAAGCGATTTTTGGCCAGGGCAATGGGAAACGGACACGTCATTGTTTTGACACAGTGACAGAAACTGTGGCAGATGGGTCGAGGGCGCATCCCTTCTTTACTCCAACGCGTTGCATCCACTGCAGTACATTCAATAAGTCAATAAATAGCAACGCAAATGTTGGCTTTTTCTGCAAAGCGACCTAAAAAAAACACTGTAATGAATTAATGGCGACCAAAAAGCGCAATGGTGAATTTTTTCTGATGCGGAAGCGTTGAATAGCTTACGGTAACTTGGGAGTCCAGGATCGTCCCTTTGAACGGGGTGGGCAGAATGGCGCCGGAGGAAGCCAAGCTGGTGACGGAGACAGTCCCATGAGAATTATATGCATTTAAATAAGCACTTAATTGTGCATCTCACAACTTTATTCGGCATTCAAGTTCCCAGGTATCAAATTTCGTTTCTCATCTTGATTCCGGGGCAGAATTCTTCGAGGCGCAGTCAATTGCGCCCCTGGATGAATGAGCGAACTTATGTGCTGGAGAACAACTAGGCCGCGGAATCCTCAATGGCCATCCATCGATAAAGTGCTCACAACAGTTGAAATGAATATTAGGATCGCAACGAGCAGGTTTGCTGTTTGCGATGCTGTGGGTGTGCAGACGGGGGGCACCCCGCATGTGGGACGGGCAGTTGTAGGTCCCCGAGATCCGAAACTTTCTCTGACCGCTTGCGTGCGTCATGTGTGAGAAGCGCCCTCCTAAGTGCGAATTATAAAACAGGCCAAAATCAAGTTTTTAAAGATCGTGTTTCGTATGTCACGATTGAAAATCATGTAAAATCGTGTACTTATCATGTATACATTTTTTACAAGAGTGGGACCAAACCGTCTAGTAACGATTGGTTGACTGTACAAGATTTTACATATATTGATGTTGTTTTACACGATTTTCAAACGGTTGGAAAACGTGTATTTTGGCCTATTTTTTTACTTGTGGATTAGAATGAGCATCAAGTTGTTCCATTAGGGTATTCGAGAGTGTGCTGATAATTCTCAAGAAGATTGGTGTACGATACGACCGATCCTAATAGAGACGTGGCGGCGGAGTGCATCTTCTATCGCGTGCAATAAAATGTTTGCGTTTCACTTCGAGGGCAAGCTTAGAACTCGCAAAGCATCGGTAAGAGCTCTTAGTGCCGCAGATTGCTCTGTCAAGGGCGGCGATTGGAAGATTGGCACCCTTGGGAATGACGGAGTGCTGGAGCTGGGATGAGAAAAGGCCCAACCTCCGGGGACGTCCCCGGGGACGCCCCCAAAAGGGGAGGGAAAGGGGAGGCCGTCCCCGGCTTGCATCCCCAGCTGGCAGAATGATTCTGTCCCCAGCGTCCCCACACACCCACATCCCTGGGCGTCCCCAGATTCCGTCGCCGCCCGGTAGCACAATACCGTCCCCAGCGTCCCCACAACACCACGTTGCTGGGCATCCCCATTGGAGCCACAGGCCTCATGAGCCCCCCAATTGGAGGGGAAGAGGGGAGGAGCCTCCATCCCCGCATCCCTGCGGGGGACAGAGACCTCATGGGGCCCCCAAGGGAAGGGGGAGGGGGAGGAACCGTCTGTCCCCGCATCCCCACGTCACCATGGGGGCCCCTTGAGGTCCGTGCCCTCCCGTGGGCACTCGTGTTACAGAATCGCGTGGGCAACGCGTCTCCACGCGTCGCACCGCTCGGCGGTCTAACGCCTGCAGGTGCCTGCAGACACCGGCCCACGTGGCGCGATGCGGTGCCATCCTGCGGGATGCCAACGTGGCATCGCGTTTGTACGTATCAGTATGCAGAACCTTGGGCATCGTCCCTATGTGGTTCAAATGGGGCTGAACGCGAGCCCATGACGTGGGCCGCCCATCGCGAGGGCTGGCAACGGGAGGCGTGGGGATGCCTTCAGGCTAGTTACCGCGTGGGGCACGTCGCATTTCTGGCGGCGCGGGCGGGCGGCGGGGCGCGTTGGGCACCCCGTGGGGCCGTGCCCCGGGGCCGGCACAGCCCCACGTTGGTGGACATCCAGCCACGCGTGGGGGGGGTAGCTACGTGGGAAGTACGTGGGACTGCATCGGCAGCGCTGGTGGCCCGGCGGGCGGGGTTTGCGTCCAAGGCCGACGGCACGCATGGGACGGCCCCCACCCACAGATGCGGTGGCCTGCATCGGCAGCGAAGGTGGCCCCACGGGGGTGGCCCGCGTCCGGGACCGTTGACGTGCGTGGGGCGGTCCCCGCTTGCAGACGCTTGGGGAATATTCCCTGCGTGGGATCGCGCTCGTGGGAAGGAGTCATGGCGGGCACTGTGCGGCTGACGGGCACCCTGCGTCTAGGTGCGTTTCAGGGACCGCTTCAGGGGGTGCTGGTTGCTCCGCCGCTGCTCTGCATGCGTGCCGTCCCAAGGTCGCCCATGTGCCTGCGTGTTTCCGTTGGCTTCCCTGGAGTTGTTCCTGTGCACGACGTGTGAACCCTCCAGGGATCACGGTTCCTCATCAACGTGGGCTCCTACAATCCCGACAGTGCACGAC